GGATGTAAGGAAGTGTGGCGATCTAAGATCGACGATGTAAGTATCACAGTCAACTCATTGTTCAAGCTTCTCAATTTATAACCAAAAACAATCAGCATCACGGCCAGCGTGGTTGTCATGTAGCCATGAACTGTTGTGAAGATGAAAGTCGCTCAGGACAATGATCTCACAAACCAGAAAGAAAGAAATGGATGTTGGGGACCAAATATACGAATTAAAATGTTTAATTATTCGGTATAACAAGCACAGTCTTCACCGCCAAATGTAAGTGCTTTTTACTCTTTATAATTATATCAGCAACGTCCCTATGCATGACTATGTTGTATATGTTTGTCTATTCGGTGGTTAAAAATTAAGACAAGGTCTCTACCACCTTATCTCTAAACATATTGACTCATTGGGGGCAAAATAGCAACATTTTATTTGCAGCCATACACAGAAACATAATCGAAAGACATCAGGTGTTTACTTTCCCACAACCACGCCCCTTGCCTGGCTGTCGAACTACACTGGTGATAAACAAACAAACACAGCTCGTACGTGCTGTGATTTTCACACAGTCATGTCTTTCCGAAGTGACTTTCCTTGACCTCACAAAAGTCACGATAACTATCAGGCACGGAGACCCTCCCAATCAGCATTTTTGAAACTGCCACAGAATGCCTTTAGTCTTCCAAAATTTTCACGTAAGGGTGAAGGGATACCGTGCGGTCATTAGACAGTGGTCACGCGTGCTAATTCGTGCATTAACATCAACAGTGTATTGAGTTATGTTAGAAGGCCTATAGTCCTGGGCTGTTCTAAAATAGGGTTTGCTATGTGAGTAGCACAGTTCATTATTCAAGGTTGTTCTCAATAAAAAATCAAATGCCGGCTTCAATTGTAGCGTGGATTCTTAAAACCACGAACTATAGGACGAGGATCTCATCACCAGGATACACGTCCAGTGGCAGTCCTACAATTAGAGAATTAATTTATTGGAGGGAGGGAGAAATACGGAGACCCACAGATGATCAAAATCAAGGCCAGAGATCGCAAGATCATGGTTGGTAACACAAAACTCACTCTTCAATTCCAAAGAGTAAAAACGGCTGTGGGCTGGGAACATTGAGTGTGTGAGGTCAGATGATGGTGAGATCCCAGTTTCTATTATGTAGAGTGTTCAGTTGTTTCAAGGTGATGATAAACATACGTGATGTTTTTACATTATGAGACCTCCTTTGCCAAGTAACAAGATATAGTAATAGGATTCAGTTTTCATCTTCTTTGGTTTCTTTCGGTAAAGTCACGTAGAATGAGAATAAAATAATAAATTGATCAAATAAAATAATAAAATTATCACGACGTTTCGGCCACAACACAAGCGGCCTTCATCAGGTGAAGGAACGAGACTGTCTGGAGCTCCAGCGCTGTCCTCCAGACAGTCTCGTCCCTTCACCTGATGAAGGCCGCTTGTGTTGTGGCCGAAACGTCGTGAGAATTTTATTGTGTTATTTTATTTTATCAATTTATTATTTTATTCTCATTCTACGTGACTTTACCGAAAGAACCAAAGAAGATGAATCCTTGCAGTCACGAAAGCTTTAAATCGAAATTTAGGATTCAGTTTTTGTAGGGTAAAAACCTATTACTATAAACGTGATGTTACTGTGACGTTGCAGACATCTTACAGAAGAAAAACAAGACACGATTGTTTAGAGAGTAGAGCAATTATCATGTTTTAACAAAGCATTAAGGAGAAGCTTTTCCCAGCGTTCACTGGGCTGGTACAGTCAGAGCACCCGACAGCCGAAGGGCACTCACTATGTTCGCGAAAGTCGCCTCACCACTGCTCCCAGCAATCATCCGCTTGGAGCCTCCTCCGGTCACGAACCGGCACAACAGACGACTCCAGGTGGCACACACACACCACGTGATGAGGCAGCGTTTCCAATGGGCTATGGCTTCGGGTACTAGTCGGCGGCAACATGGCCTGCAGGGAACCCGTTTCACTGGAATGCCGCGTAACAGGTGAAACTACCGTGAGAAGACACGCGAACCACAGCCAGAGCCGTACAATATTGGATTGAGTCCTGGCCGGCAACTACAAGCAGATATTGAAACAGGGTTTGGTGGTGGTCATACTTCCCCGGGCAGTGGGGTGTGTGGAGACACCTACCACCTTGTACAATTGAGATTTGGCAGAAGGAAGAGATAGTGAGGTGTGGTAATGACCTCTTGACCGTGAACTATCAAAGTCAGTGACATGAAAATTCAAACACTCACCAGTGCAGCCCATTCTTCTTCTTCGTTTGTATGTCTGATGGCGATGCAGAGCAACAACTACAATTTCACATTCATGTGGTCAAGCCAGATAACCACGTCAGGAGCAGTGGAGTGTATCATCGCTGTGGTGTCTCCTTCATATTTGCGGATCGAGCATTGCGTCCTTACACGTTGTACGGTCTATTTTGGATTACCACAGTCTCACACTGGACAGTTTTTAAGTCTCCATTTGTGCATCAGGTATCCGCTTTTGCCATGGTTTGTGCAGTGGATGTGGTTTTGGGTAGACCATGAGCTTCACGAGATGTTTGCGAGATGTGTTTGACTCCGTTCAGTTCTCCAAGCTTCATTTGGGTTGAAATCGCACTGTTGAAGGATAAGCGCATGGGTCCAAAAGGGCTTGCACGACTTCAAGCGATGACGAGGGACGATATTGAGGTCCTGATGAATGGGAAAGTGACTGTTTTAATCTACAGCATTCTTAGGACTTCCCGAAGGGTTGCGGCGGATGGGTGGGGGAGAAATTTGTGACAGCACGGGCAGCCAGGGTGTTGGGGTTGACTTGAGGGTTTTAGTGATATACCGCATTGCAGTGTTCAGTTGGACATCAACAAGTCGAGTGTGACTACTTCTGGTCCATACTGCTACACAGTACACGGCTACAGAGTACACGAGGGCCACCATTTATGACCGTAGCACCGAGGGCGCTGATGCTCCCCAGCTTGTGCTTGCTAGTGTCTGGACCAGGTTGACCCTTGTTTTGGTCTTGGCGGATACCTTTTTCAGGTGGTCGTGGAAGGTTAGCTTACGGTCCAGCTTCACTCCGAGATAGGTTGAAGTGGGGTCGTGTCGCATAGTGTAGCCGCAGTAGGTTACTTTCAGAGTGTGCTTGGCGCTCTTATTAATTATCAAGATGAAATGCAGTGACTGTTGTTGTCTTCTTCTCGGTTCTTTCGGTAAAGTCACGTAGAATGGAAATAAAATAATAAAAATAAAACAATAAAATACAATTCTCACGACGTTTCGGCCACAACACAAGTAGCCTTCTTCAGGTGAATGAACAGGACTGACCAGAAGACAGCGCTTGAGTGAACATTGCTAAGCATGGATCGCGTCTTTTAAGCTGTGTGGGCGGAATTAACATATGAATTAGCATGTCACCCAGCACCACCACCGGATCGGAGGAGGGTGGCGGCTGGGCAGACAGAAAAGGAAGGTAAAAGAGCAGCCAAGGTACGCTGCTCTGTCCTGTGTTGCGTTGTAACTCTGCTATAAACTGGACTACTATACAGTGCAATATTATACCTTCCAATTTAAACTACATGGTATAATATCATATCCATAGACAAAATTCCACCTTTGAATTATACAATGCATTACTATACACTACCCTATACTTTAGACGATAAATGATTAGCCTTGTAACATTACACTATGTCTTATTCTATCAACCCTACTATATACCACACTGCTGTATATTCACTATACAATTACAATACTATATATTGCCTTATGAATTATGTTAAACATTACAACGTTATACTTTTATACCACATGCTATAAACCTATAAACCATACCATTGACCAACGTGTTATATTATCATAGTGTATTTTTTGTTTGCATTTTGACTGCAGGTATTGTGGTTAAAGCAGACATGAATCCTTGAAAAAAGGTTTAAGTTTTGTTGCCAGAAAAAAGGGGAAAACCCCTATTATTCTATTTTGGTATTGGCAAAGGAGGTCTAATGATGTAGATGCTCACCCCGAGCCCTCATTACTTTGATAGTGCATTGTCTTTGAGCTGTACGCCTTTTGGCGTCATCTGGTCGAGCACCAATTGGGTCGAGGCTCAAAAGAAAGCCGTCCCTTGGTGTGGACCAATCAGTTTCAAGGACAATGCATATATTATCATAGTGTGTTTTTGTTTGCATTTTGACTACAGGTATTGTGGTTAATGCAGACATGAATCCTTGTAAAAAGGTTTCAGTTTTGTTGCCAAAAAAAAGGGGAAAAACCCCTATTATTGTGTGAAAGGTATTAAGAGGCAGTGCCAGCAAATGGACTGCGGTCTGAAGGTCACCGTAAAATACAATCAATTAAGAACCGAAGTGCTTTATGACATCTTTCCAATGGTTACTAAGCCAGAATCCATCTTCTCAGTTGAAATTGTCTCTGTGTTTGTATATGTGGATGGCCTCATAAACGAATCTCTCATGGTAGCCGGATGGCTTGCAGAGAACCTCCGTCTTGGAGAAGTCAATGTCATGTGAGCCCACTGAATTATAACAGTGATCTGCCACGGCTGAGGAGTTAGTCTTACCGTGTTTCAAGTCTGCTTTATGTTCACGGATGCGGTCCGAGATATGTCGTTTGGTTTCTCCAATGTAGCTGCTACCACAAAGGCAACTTAGTTTGTAAACGCCCGGGTACTGTATGTCTGGAACCACATCTTTTACAGACGGAACCAGATCACGGATTTTATGTACTGTGTTGAATTAGACATGGATCTTGTGTTTATGCAGGATTTTGGAGATCTTTTTTGTGACCCCCGCAATGTAGGGTAAGGTGATGGTTTTGAATGGCTCCTCAAGAGGATCCTTCTTCATGACTGGGGTGATGGCTTTGCTGATTGTGTAGTCGGAGTAACCATTAGCCTTGAGAGCTTGGTGTACGTGCTCGAGTTCACTTGCAATGTGTTCCTGGTCGGAAATGATGAATCCCTGCAGTCACGAAAGCTTTAAATCGAAATGTTGTTGTCTTGTGGGGATTTGGCTTGAGCCTCCATTTCTGGCAATATTCCCTCATGGGGTTTAGGTCTTGGATCAGAGTGGATTCCATGTCGTGGAAAGTGGCTGCTTGCGCTGCCATGGTGAGGTCGACCGCATATACACATTTGCGTGACTTGTTTGGTGGTATGCCGCTTGTGTAGACATTGAAGAGCTTTGCTAATAATGTTTGATCTCTTATCCTGCACCCAAGGGTGTTATATTTGCACGTAAAATGCTGAGATGATTATTTGCAAACAGGTGCAGGTGATGCTGGAGAGATGTGTTATCAGTCGAAACAGATATGTGTGAAGTCGAGTATTGATTTCCCGACATAGTTTTTCATCAGCACATATAAAAGTCACGCAGGGGCTGGAATTGTAGCTGTGATCGCAGAAGCTTCCACGATGAGACTCATTCTAGCCTTAGCTGCTCTCTGCATAGTAGTGGTGTCTGCTGTGCCTCCTAAGGAAAAGTTTTTCTTCCTGGTGAGTCTAACTTTCATTATCATTACACGGGACAAGGCTATTATACCAAGAATGTATACATTTGAACGGTTTTATAAAAAGTACGATCTTTAGTGAAAAATGCTAATTTCTCTGGCCAGATATTCCTAAATTGATCATCCCAATGGTTTGATCAATTGAGATAAATGTACTACAGTGCACGGTGCTGTATTTAAGATGTCATACGGCCTACATACCCAGCCACGACATGAGCAAAATGGTGTCTATCTGGCCAGATAGAGCGGAGGCTAAATGGGTGCGGCATGAGATGGGCTGATGTGTGGTAGGGGTACATTTGGAGCTGAGTGGACTTGCCATTCAGTGTTGTCAAAACCCAGTCTCAAGCGCTTATCAATCGGCCCGTTTGGCAGCAGCCACCCCTCGAGCAACAATGGCAGGTGGAGGAGCAGCACTCACACGTAGCACGGTTGGCTATATATGGTGCGAAAGAAGTTCAACATACATACCCACGTGACTTTACCGAAAGAACCAAAGAGTATGCATACATACATACATGCTCACACCAACGGAACACAGGGTCGCCAAAATGCAGCAAGTTGGCACGGAGGGGGGTCCCCAGGGTTTGTGTCTGCCGGTTAATTTAGTCAGTTACCCCAGAAAATGGGAGACAAAGGCGGCCGGGCGTGGTGTTGGCCACCCAATCCCCTCGTGTGCCGTGCAGGCCTTCATAGGTGCTCGCAAACAGCACTTGTTAAGGCTATACAGGGGATCCGTGTCTTGTATGGGTTATACAGGCATATCATCCAGCAATTGCACATTTCGCATTCATGGCGCTTTGTCCCAAATGGGAATGTATTATGCTGTGGCTGCTTCCTCTCTGGGAGGCTCAGGCATTATTCAATTTCATGGTGGCAGAGTGTACACATACACGATGTATTTTGCTCCCGAATGTATATATAAACATGTGAGTGTCACTGTTGTTTTGGCTGATTCCAGGACGTTGGCGAGCTGTGTTTGGTGGGAACACAGTGCAAGAGTGGATGTTGTAAGCGGGAAAATCAGATTGGCGCGCGCCGCTGTGCTGCTCTCTCCAGCGAGACCCAACTCTGCCAATACGATGTGAGACCACGCAGGGCTATGCCCGCATAATCAGCTGTGGGGGCAAATGATGACCGGTGGCAGGGTGGTGGCGCAGGGTGGCACTGCGGTAACACTCGTCCCTCGCAGGGTGCCTCTCTGTGTGGAGTTTGTATACTCATCCCCTGTTCTGCTTGGGTTTCTGAAACTAAAGGGTTTTTTTATTTTACCAGGTGAGGCCCACTGAGCTACTGGGCCTTCATAGCTTTTTTCAGAAGCGACCTAGCCACAAATAATAGCTCAACGAAGTGGCATAATAGGTGGAAATGTATAGTAGCCAAATACTCTAAACGTGGGTTCTCTGGTTTCCACTGAGTTTTCCGGGTATCTCCCCTGGCTAAAAAACACATACAACGTAAATCAGCAGTGGCCACTATGAAAAGCACTGTGATCCATTCTGGTGGACCTCAACGGCTCCTCTGCGATCCACCTGAAAGCCATGACCGACAATTGGCTGTGATATTATATGCAATCCACCTATTGGCCACTGCTGGTGTAACTGATAACGGCCAAACATCCCAATGTTCAAAATGTTACCTGCAAATTACTCAACTGGGGATCACGCACAGCAGCAACATTGCTCCGACTGCGATAAAAGCTTGACAGGACCCTTCAGAAGAAGAGAAGAAGATACTGGCTAAAGAAGCAGATCAATAATTAGTCCGACACAAAATTATAATTAACGTCGTTGTGGAGAATATAAGGAATAATAAATAATCATATAAAACGCCTCCTTCACATATTTTGTTCCTCCGCATAATGTGATTGCTGAGTTGTGAGTAATATATTATATAATGTCGTATTCAACGAGGAACCATATTTAGCAAAGAAGATCATGTTCTATATCTGACAGTTCTCCAGCATTGGTTCAAACAAGCCTGACTCTCCTGATGAGACACTGAATGTCAAAACCGGTCCAATGCTGCTGATATTTTGCACTACCAGAGGGCTGTGTGGCTGATGGGATGTGTACAAATAATATTGTGAATGTTTACGCGGCAGGACAGACATGTGCAGGAAGTAATTGTCTGCTTATTTGTTTTGTGAAATTAATTCAAGCATGACTTTGTTTCAATTGTGTCTTTCATAACAATGTGTTCATGTAAACATCATAAAACAATCCAGAGATTAGAACTGTTTGCTACTTGTTGCAACATTTTGGCAGCAGCTTTGAAATCGGGTCCATATTTTTAAAACACCCTGTACTCAAATTAATCAACCACCTACATGATGTATAAAGCACACTTAAGAATACAAACTAGAACATACGCGATGATATATTGCAAACAAGTGCATAAACGTATCTTGCTGTGGTTTACTTTGGGTCTATTTTGCTCATGAACACAACTACGTGTAACGTATTTAGTAGTCCCGTGTAATGTAGAATAACTTTCTCTTTGCTCTTTATTGCTCTTGAAGACATACATCTACTCTTTAATGTGGATGGTTCATATAAGTTTTGAACACGCGGAGAGACCCATTTGCAAGCGACTTGGGTCGCCAAATGACAAAAAAACAATAACATACCAAAACACACAAAGTACAATAGTTAAAAAACAGAACGAGTGCAAAAAAAACATTACAGAACAAATATAAAACAGTACACAATCATCATTCAAATATTAAATAATATTTTTTTGCACTAAAAGTTGGCTCAGTCAAATTACTTTTCAAAGCCATTAATGGTAAATTTAAGTTACAGACACACAATACTTTCATTTTATATCGTGTCATCGTGAACTCGGGACCGGCCTGAATGTGGGCATTCGTTTTGAGTTCCCTTCCACCTTCTTGTCGAGACGCTGGGGCTATAATAATAATTATAATTGTTACGGATTGAGGGTGGTTATTGCACGAGCATGTAAAGAGACAATGCTAGAGGTTGCATCGAATACGGCTGTAACGTCTTAATTTACTGTGCATGTTCTCGACACCGACCTCTCGAGACGAAGTCTCACTCTGCTTCGCGTATTCGAACAAACTGCGGCTGGCGCGAGCGTGAGTGACAAGGCCGGTGACCCCGGCGTGTGCACAGGGCATCCGGGACGTGTACTACGAGTGTCCGTGCGAGTCCGGCCTCAAGTGCGACGTGGACCGCACCATCGGTGGCATCATCGTCACCAACGATATCGGCGTCTGCATCGACCCCAACGACCCGTGAGACAGCAGCAGCGGCAGCTCTTGACTCTGCTACAAGGACGAGCACTTGCAACATTCTCGCAGACAAAGCCGCGTAATCACCTGCATACGGTTCACATTTACACACGTCAGCAGCATACGAGACCAGCACATCGAATGTGAGTGCAACATTTGCTTTGTGAAAAACGTGCAACACCGTAGCCACGGTGACACCTAGCAGTGAGATCGTAAACATTGTGAACGTGAGACTGAGTTTTACATTTAAGAACACTGAAACAATGTCAGCAATCGAATGAGTTTTAATACATTCAACCTCAACCAAAGGCACAGATCGCATATGAAATAACACAAATAGAAACGATTGTTTGATTGCCCAAATAAATCTCATACAACTTGCAGCAAGCGAGCGTGTCTTGTGTGGCTTTGGTGCAGTTGGTCTCAGGACTTGGCCAAATGTTCATTCTCTCGCCTGGCCTACAGGAGTTCGTGGGTTCAAGCCCGAGCCTGACGCATGTATATTTGGAGTTTGCATGTTCTCTCCTGTGGTCGCGTGGATTTTTCTCCGGGTCCTCCCGTTTTACCCTCTACATTTAGAAACGTGAGTTGAGAGTATTTGGCTGCTATAAATCCCCAACATGATAAGCCACTACATTGAGCTATCATTTGTGGCCAGGTCGCTTCTGAAAAAGAGCCACATTGACGCTCAGTGGGCCTTACTCGGTAAAATAAAAATAGTTAATGCTTTAAGTTTAGGGCTGAGGACTGTCGTGTTTCGGGAATATTATAGGGGTGTCAGGCGAAGGATTCCCACCAATAGGAGGGTTGGTGGGAAGGTGACAGGAGAAGGGGTAATCGAGGAGATATAAGGAGAGAACTGGCAGGAAGAGGCCTTGGGCGGGAAAGACATTGAGGGACGGCTGGAGAGAGGTGTGAATGAAAACAGAGGAATAAACATCGAACCTCTTCTTTGGTTCTTTCGGTAAAGTCACATAGAATGAGAATAAAATAATAAATTGATAAAATAAAATAACAATACAATTCTCACGACGTTTCGGCCACAACACAAGCGGCCTTCATCAGGTGAAGGGACGAAACTGTCTGGAGGACAGCGCTGGAGCGAACAAAGCCACGCTCAGATCGTGACCTTTAAGCTGTGTGAGAAGAAACAAAGCGCCTTGACAAAGGAATTAGCATAGAATTTAGCATTGAAAGAGCTGAGTGATTAGCTTGTGACTGGTCACAGAAATGGCTATGTTAAAGTTAAAGCATACACATCCACAGAGGCACCCCTTGACAAAGGAATTAGCATAGAATTTAGCATTGAAATAGCTGAGTGATTAGCTTGTGACTGGTCACAGAAATGGCTATGTTAAAGTCAAAGCATACACATCCACAGAGGCACCTAGTACAAATCAAACAGGAGAATTTAGCATTGAAATAACTAGGATAATTTAGCATTGAAATAACTGAGTGATTAGCTTGTGACTGGTCACAGAAATGGCTATGTTAAAGTCAAAGCCTACACATCTGAGCTATTCACAGTAACTGGGTATACACTACACTATATAATGAATACTATATAGTAAACCAATAAAAAACAAAAATATAAATTACCTCAATGTTATCAATAAACTCTATATATTCTCCAATCAGCTAAGCTACCAACAATAAGACGTTATATATCACAATGCTATATGGCGAAAAAATGGGTGGATTCTTACCCTCAACTTTAGCACCACGGATAGCTACGAGCCCCGTTCAGGCGGACGAGTTCATCCATGGTTGGAACGGAGGAGGGGGAGAGAGACAGCTGCGAGGCGCTGTTATACTCCGGTATAACAGTATAACAGCACCCCGCAGCTGTCTCTCTCCCCCTCCTCCGTTCCGACCATGGATGAACTCGTCCACCTGACCGGGGCTCGTAGCTATCCGTGGTGCTAAAGTTGAGGGTAAGAATCCACCCATTTTTGCACCATATAGCATTGTGATATATAACGACTTATTGTTGGTAGCTTAGCTGATTGGAGAATATATAGAGTTTATGGATAACATTGAGGTAATTTATATTTTTGTTTTTTATTGGTTTACTATATAGTATTCATTATATAGTGTAGTGTATACCCAGTTACTGTGAATAGCTCAGATGTGTAGGCTTGACTTTAACATAGCCATTTCTGTGACCAGTCACAAGCTAATCACTCAGCTATTTCAATGCTAAATTCTATGCTAATTCCTTTGTCAAGGCGCTTTGTTTCTTCTCACACAGCTTAAAGGTCGTGATCTGAGCGTGGCTTTGTTCGCTCCAGCGCTGTCCTCCAGACAGTCTCGTCCCTTCACCTGATGAAGGCCACTTGTGTTGTGGCCGAAACGTCGTGAGAATTTTATTGTTATTTTATTTTATCAATTTATTATTTTATTCTCATTCTACGTAACTTTACCGAAAGAACCAAAGAAGATGAATCCTTGCAGTCACGAAAGCTTTAAATCGAAACATCGAACCCCCTGCAACTCTTGTGTCGGCTCTCCTTTACATTTGGTGGCAGCGGTGGGATCCACAATGGCTACGAAGAAGAATCCCCGCGGAAGGGAGCCAACATAGGAGGGAGCAGGGGCCGGGGATCCTCCACATCCAGGGCAACAAGGGGGCCCGCTACCAGGAACAGCAGTAGGGGTCCCGGACCCAAGGGATGACCCCATGGAGGACCACATGGCTCGCGTGGAGAGGGCACTCCAGGAGCTGTTACGGCGGCTCCCTATGGGGGGCCCGCCGGCACCGGGACCCCCACTCCCACACGTACCACGGGAGGAAGGCTCACGGGACCTGGAGGCTGACCAGCCAGCCGGGCGGGAGCCGCAACCAGCCTCGTCATGCCAGCCGCCGCCGCTCCCGCCAGAACCACCAGGGCTAAACACCCAACACGGGGAGCAGGTGGCAGGACGGCCGCGCCGGCTTGGGGCCGTCGAGAAATTCGTGGCCGAAGGAGGAAATTGAGAGGCGTTTGTCCGCCGATTTAAGGCTGCCTTCCAGGCCCTCGAGTGGTCAGACGAGGAGGCACTACGAGCATTGCCATACATTCTGGACGACGATGCGCTCGCCTCTTACAACTCCCTTCCCTCACGCAGCAAGACCACGCTACAGGCGGCCTACGAGGCGTTGGGAGAAATCTACTGCCCAGCTGAGGGCGCCTTTAGACGATTCCAGGACCGTCAGCGGGGGGCTCGAGAGTCCCCTTTAGCCTACAGGGGTGCACTGCTCGTGTTGGCGAAGAGGGCTTTCCCTCGCCTGGATGAAGAAGCACTCGAGAACCTCGTGGTCGAGCACCTCATCGCCTACGCTTGCCGAGCCGGCGTTGTGATGCCGGTGGTGACCCCGGAGGAACGCACCTCGCTGTGGGCCGCCCGGATCCTACAAGCCCATGAACAGGTCATGGGCCGGGCACTACCCGTGGGCCAGGTGGCTGGCGCGGCGAGGGGGAGCAGCCGGCCCGTTACCGCGGCGCTACTGGGACCAGCGCTGCCAACCGCTGAACCTGCACCGTCGCCGTAGGCTGCCGATGTGGCAGCTGGAAGCGGACCTCCAGCGTCTGAGCCGGAGCCATCGCTGCGGGAGGTCTACGCGGCAATCTGGGGGCTGGCGGAGCAGAGAGACCAAGGGCGCGACCAGCCGCCACGCCGCTGGAAGCCGCCTCTACAGTACCGTTGCCGAGCCACAACGACGGAACGCCCCGTGGGTCTGCCACCGTTGTGGTCGAGAGGGCCACGTGGCGAGGGGGTGCCGCACGGAGCCAGAGGCAGCCAACGCCACCTGGAACCCGCCTGGGCCGAACCCCAACAGCCACCAGGCGAGTGACGCCGGCCCGGAAATACACACGCCCGACGCCGCGACCTCTCTGGGGGCTTCCTCAGGGTGGGCGCCGTCGGTGTCGGGCCCAGGGCTCAACCGTCCTGGTCGAGGGAAGGGGATCGCGCCGGGTCCGGGGCTCGCGCTGGGGCGGTGGACACCACCGAGGCTCACGCCGGGGCCGGGGCCGGCGCCGGGGCCGGGGCCGGCGCCGGGCCGGGGCCGGGGCCGGCGCCGGGGCCGGCGCCGGGGCCGGGGCCGGGGCCGGGGCCGGCGCCGGGGCCGGGGCCGGCGCCGGGGCCGGGGCCGGGGCCGGGGCCGGGGCCGGCGCCGGCGCCGGGGCCGGGGCCGGCGCCGGCGCCGGGGCCGGGGCCGGGGCCGGCGCCGGGGCCGGGGCCGGCGCCGGGGCCGGGGCCGGGGCCGGCGCCGGGGCCGGGGCCGGGGCCGGCGCCGGGGCCGGGGCCGGCGCCGGGGCCGGGGCCGGGGCCGGCGCCGGGGCCGGGGCCGGGGCCGGCGCCGGGGCCGGGGCCGGGGCCGGCGCCGGGGCCGGGGCCGGGGCCGGCGCCGGGGCCGGGGCCGGCGCCGGGGCCGGGGCCGGGGCCGGCGCCGGGGCCGGGGCCGGGGCCGGCGCCGGGGCCGGGGCCGGCGCCGGGGCCGGGGCCGGGGCCGGCGCCGGGGCCGGGGCCGGCGCCGGCGCCGGGGCCGGGGCCGGCGCCGGCGCCGGGGCCGGGGCCGGGGCCGGGGCCGGGGCCGGCGCCGGGGCCGGGGCCGGGGCCGGCGCCGGGGGCCGGGGCCGGGGGCCGGCGCCGGGGCCGGGGGCCGGCGCCGGGGCCGGGGCCGGGGCCGGGGCCGGCGCCGGGGCCGGGGCCGGCGCCGGGGCCGGGGCCGGGGCCGGCGCCGGGGCCGGGGCCGGGGCCGGCGCCGGGGCCGGGGCCGGGGCCGGCGCCGGGGCCGGGGCCGGGGCCGGCGCCGGGGCCGGGGCCGGGGCCAGGCGCCGGGGCCGGGGCCGGCGCCGGGGCCGGGGCCGGGGCCGGCGCCGGGGCCGGGGCCGGGGCCGGCGCCGGGGCCGGGGCCGGGGCCGGCGCCGGCGCCGGGGCCGGGGCCGGGGCCGGGGCCGGCGCCGGGGCGGGGCCGGGGCCGGGGCCGGCGCCGGGGCCGGGGCCGGCGCCGGGGCCGGGGCCGGCGCCGGGGCCGGCGCCGGGGCCGGGGCCGGGGCCGGCGCCGGGGCCGGGGCCGGGGCCGGCGCCGGGGCCGGGGGCCGGGGCCGGCGCCGGGCCGGGGCCGGGGCCGGCGCCGGGGGCCGGGGCCGGGGCCGGCGCCGGGGCCGGGGCCGGGGCCGGCGCCGGGGCCGGGGCCGGGGCCGGCGCCGGGGGCCGGGGCCGGGGCCGGCGCCGGGGCCGGGGCCGGGGCCGGCGCCGGCGCCGGGGCCGGGGCCGGGGCCGGCGCCGGGGCCGGGGCCGGGGCCGGCGCCGGGGCCGGGGCCGGGGCCGGCGCCGGGGCCGGGGCCGGGGCCGGCGCCGGGGCCGGGGCCGGGGCCGGCGCCGGGGCCGGGGCC